GTAATGTTCCTGCATCTTCAGGTGGGCAGAGTAGGAAAAGACCTCTTAGTGTCAGAGTGTTATCTTTTCAAACACCTTCAACTGCAGATGTCCCTTGGCTTTGTACCTTAGGTTGATGGCATAGTTGTCAAGATTGTAAGGTCTGACATCTTCCCTGGTACTACTAGAGCATTGTCATTTCTCAACACTGGGAAAGATCTGGCAGAGAGCCCAGTGAGGAATCACCATTGGCAGACAGTGTACATATAATATGTCTAACAGTCCTCTGGAGGCCAAGTGCTATGGCTTTGCAAATCATAACACTAAGCCTGTGGTTAGCACCTGTCAGGTTCCTGTGGGATATAGACACCGTGACCCTTTCTACAGCAAAGCTTAAAGGCTGGTTGAACTTGAACAACATGTTCCTGTTGAAATAAGAAATTTTGACCATGAGGAAGACATAAGGGTGCTTGGGGGGTTTGTTTTGGTTTTTTGTTTTTCTATTTTGAAAGACTTAACGGTTTGGAAGTTGGTTGCTTCTTAAACTTTCATGAGCTGGTTGGTCCTAGAGTCCCAAGTTTTGATTAAAGGCTTTTTTGGTGTATCTCTAGATACGCTTTTTAAAGGACTGGTTCAGCAGCTTTCCCTCCTCTTTATTAGCCAAATTTATGATGTAGCATACACCCTGAGGCGAAGTAAGGATGGACATTGTGGATATCTCTTGTCTTAGACTCTAGAATCTTATGACAGAGTATGGAGGTTAAAGTTGCAGTGAAAAAAAAAAAGTTCTTAGGAGTTCTAAACCTCAACCATAATTCCCTAGGCTGCTGTCTTTATTACTTCAATATTTGAGGTTTCATTTGTTTGTTTTGAGACACGGTTTCTCTGTGTAGCCCTGGCTGTCCTGGAACTCACTCTGTGTACACCAGGCTGGCCTTGAACTCAGATCTACTGCCTCTGTCGGAAGGGATTAAAGGTGTGTGCCACCACTGTTCAGCTTATTTCAATAATGTTGAATTAGAATATTAAATTGTTCCTCATTTCCCAGGCATTCTTTTGGCTGTAGCCTGAGGAAGGCTTATAAACTTGGGAAGATACACAGAGGACATGAAAAAAGCAATCCTTAAAGGCAGCAATGTCAGGAGGGAGCAGCAGCTGAAAAATTGGGGGTGTATCTGGAAGTTCTTGATTTATGACCAGCAACAGCTGCCCCTAGGAAACAACAAGGCTTTTCAAGCCTCTGTGGCTAACCAATTAGGAACCTGCTGTCAACTTGTTCTGAACTACAGCAGCCACTCTATGATCTGGCAGTATTTTTAGGGGTTGTTCTATAGAGCCCTCTGGAACTCTTATCTTCCAAAGGAAGGCAGCTTTTTTCTTAAGAGAGGAAAATAGAGCCAGTGAGGTCTGGGAAAAGGTCTTTGGACTGCAAATGGAGGGCCTTGGCCACTTTGAAATACTTGACAAATGTTTTGTACAGTATTTTGTATCTGCATCTTCATAATAATCATGTCCATCAGTTGCATATAACAAAATTGTGACTGAATTACTTAGATAAGGAAAATATCTTCACATGACAGGGAGTTCTGATTTAGGTTGGTTAGTTAAGTGGCTACGTAACACCAAAGAACATGGTTGCATTTTATTTATTTTTGCTCTGCTATCCTGTGTGTTATCGGTTCATATAATGGTCTCAGGATAGCTACTGTAATTCCAGGAAGGAAATGATGACAAAACAATTTCTAACAGAAGTTAGTAGGACTTATTTCCCCACCCCTGTCAAGTGTTCATTCTAAAACAAGGAAGTCTTCCTCTGGATGCCCTATCAATTCAGGCTTCATGTATTTTCTCATGCCACTAGCAAAGCAAAAATGAGCCCTTATAGGAGTTAAATAGGAGTTAGCCATTGTATCATAAGGATTAGGAAGGTTAGTTAGGTCTAACAAGAAAGAATCAGGTAAGGACTACTGGGTGGATACCCTGTCTTATGGTGAGTAGCAAAGAGCCTTCAGTCTAGGCTCTGGGTGTTCCTAAAGCCTGTTTTATATTGTGTTTGCTGCAAGTGCCAAGTCATTATTGCAGAAACTGCTGGTAGAGGCTGTCGTTTTTTCTAGTTCTTCTTATCTAACACAGGAAGTAGAGTATAGACGCACTAAGGTATTAGAATAGTGGTAGTTGGGAAGAAAGTGAGCATTCTTAGTCCCCGAGCCATTGGTAAGCCTGAGGTCTTCCTACATATTAAAGCAGGTAGTTGGGTACTCTATCCTTTAAGTGCACTGAGTATTTGGTATTTCATTGTGCTTTGCTTTGGCGTCTGTCATGTATCCATATACCTATTTGCTATCCTGATATCATTAAGTTGTTCATATATTTTACTCATTTTAAATTTGTATTGTTTGTCTCGGGCTATAAAAGCTTATAAAATTCAAGTTCTTTATTGGAGATATGTATGTGCATATATGTGTGTGTATTCATATATATATACATATATATATGTATATATATATATATCAATTAATTTTTCCTAATCCATGGCTTGCCTTTCACTTTGGATAGGAAAAGTTTTTCGTTTTTATGTTCAATTTATTGATTTAAGGTTAAATTTATTGCCTTTTTTACTTTTCTAGTTAATGCTTTTTGTATAGTATTTAAAGAAATTTTCATTGTCTGATGGCTGCTGAGGTGCTCAGGGGGCACAGACATCTCTGCATCTGAGATTTTGTATTTTGTAGTTCTCCTTCTGAGAACAATCAGTGCTATCAGGAATAAAGCCAGGGTTTTAGCCTGCTTCTTGAACCCTGTCCTTGAGTTCCATCCATCCGTCCATCCATCCATTCATCCAGTTATTTAATGTGCTCTTCTTTTTTTAAAAAAACTGATTGTGTTCTTACAGGATAGCAGTAAGCATTGTTGTAGGCACTGAAGCTGTGGCAGTTAACAAGATACACAAACCTTTGTGACCTTTGGAAGTATGTTACCTCAAAACAGTATTTGGTCAGGGGAAAACCTCATATACTTTTGTATTGGCAAGAACCTCCAAGACCTTTTCACCTCCCTGCTTTAAATTTTAATTCATGAGCCTTTCACATGGGCTTACTCTAAAGAGGTGTGGTTCTGCATAGCAGAAGAAGGCAAGAACACATCAGAGACATTTGTTAGATTTTATTGAATCTTAGGGCCCAGATCTTGTTTAAGTGTTCAAAAAGACACTACCTTGGGGCTGAAGAGGTGGATCAGTGGTCAAGGTCATGGGCTGCTCTTCCAAAAGACCCAGGTTCTATTACCAGCACCCACATGGCTGCTCACAACTGACTAACTCTAGTCTGACACCCTCTCCTGGCCTCCGTGAGCACCACACACACACCGATAGAGTTATATGCAGACCAAACATCTGTACACATCCAAAATAAAACAAAACCACTCATTTTGTGACCACACTGTGTTTTCTAGAAGAAGCTAGGTAAGCTTGCATTCATTTAAGGAAGTAGTCACAGAATCAAGAGATGAGGGTATAATAGGCCCTTGCACAAATTTGGGATTCACTCTTCAGGCTTTGATCATGCCATCAAGCTCTGGATTGACTTTTAAGATGTGCCGATGGATCTAGTGATTTGATATTTTAAACATTTGGAAGGTCATTTTCAGTCAACAGGAAGAAGAAAGTGAGATGGGGCTTGGAGTCCCCACCATTTATTGTATAGTAAGCATGTCCATTAAGTGCATCAAAATTGTCAGCATGTAAATATTTTTGTTATTAACATTTGGGAGAGTTTCTTCTGAGCTTTCTGTGCACTATACATGTCGATCTTTCTGATGAGGGAACTGAAGCCCAAAGAGATAAAGTGGCTGATCCAAAAGTCCATATAACCGGGAGGGAAAGGATCCTGAAAATAACGTTTCTTTTTAAAATGTTATATATGCATATTTAAAGTTAAAACATCACTGGTTAATTGGGACACAGGGAAAATAATGAGTCACTGCTAAGCCTGCATAAAATAGTATCTGTTTTCACTAAGCTAAGTAATTTTAAAAGGATGGTCTGCTTGCATGTGCTGGATCTGGCCTCCGATTCTGATGGGTTGGAGGCAGGTCAAAAAGTAGTCCACATCCTACAGATCGGGTAGACCAGTGTCCAGGAAAGGCCACCGGAGATGACTTAAGTGAAAGTTTGGCATGGGATGGGAAAGGGAGAATTCCTGGCCAAGGGAACCCAAAGGCTCCAATTCAGCAGAAAAGCACCTGACCAGGTCGGGGGAGCTGGAAGTGGACCAGCTTAGTCTAATACAGTCTTGAGGGGTCCAGAGGGAAAAGGCCTTGGCTCCTTAGCCAGGTGCTTTAACGCCAGAAGGGAGTTTATGTTCTTCAAGGGGATTAGGAGAGTGTTTAAACACAGAAATGATTCCTTCTTGTACTCTATGTAATGTCCTGTTTCTTAGTCTTCTGTTTTAAAACTACATTGAATTTATTTTAACCATCTTTAAAAAAAAAAAAGTTGTCAAAGCAACCTCGGGTACTTAGCGAAATCTCTTGTGGTTACCGCCTAGTACTTGTGCTCAGAGCGGGCGTGGCAGGCGGAGCTAGGAGGGAGGATGTCCTTGGATGGTCATCTGTCATTCTCAGGTAGAACTGTCCCTCAGGTAAGCTCCTCGGGGCTGGCAGTGACGTCGCCTCAGGCAGCGGCCCCGACCGGTCCCCGCCTGGAAGGCTGTCACGGGGGAGGCTGGCCTCTGGCTCGGGATTGTCACCGTCAGGCACAGCGGGTGCTGGGCGGCCGCGCTCTCACGGCTCCGCCCCGGCCTGTCACCCGCTCGCTCACCCTCCCACACCTCCCCAGAGTCCTCCATGCGCTGGCCAGGCCGGCTCGGACGTTGTCACCGCACAGATCCGGCTCCAGGCGAGTTGCGGACCCCGCGAGCGGGGCACGGTCCGGGGAGCGGAACTGACGCGGGCGGGCTTCCGGGGGCAACCCGGGAGAGCGAGCAACGGCGGTGGCCGGCGGTTTGGGGAGCTGTGCACGCGTCAGCAACCGTGTGCGACGCAAGTTCCGGACCGGGCTTCAGCGTCCTCGCCTCACGCCTCTCTCTGTTCTCGCCTAGCTGCGGGCTGTCTCCCGACAGTGGCTCTTCTGCCCTGAGCTTTCGCAGGGCGCCCCTTCCTCGCCTCAGTGGCCGCACCGTTCTCTCGTGAAGCACTGCCCCCAGCTCCATGAATGGAAATCGGCTCCGCAGGTAAGTCGGGGCTGCCGGACGGGGCAGGTAGGGTCGTCACCCAACGGTCGTCCCCCGAGCATCCTTGCGCCTTCATTAAGGGAGCCGTTGGTTTTCGGGCCCAACGCCGCTGGCTTCTCCACAGCACCGCAGCTACCCTCCCGGGGCCACTGAGTTGGCAAAACTACCAGGAGGGTTTAAGTTTGGGTTTATCTAGGCGATGTCATCCCCCTGGAGTGCTTCTTCTCCCCTGAGGATACAGAGGAGTTTGCCCTTGCTTTTGTAATTCCATTTGGAAACGTCAAGGCAGCGCTTATCCCTTAGCCGGGTCGCGCGTCCCATGTAGGCTGGATAGTCAGTCCCCTTTTCTACCTCTTAAAGTAGTCTGAAGGTATTCTGAGATCACCGATGGGCTTAAGTTTAAGTCAGATGCAGGACGGCATTGCTTGCATCCCCAGACTCACTCTGTCTGTGGCAGTGTGGTATGTAGTTTTCCGAGGAGCTTGGCGAGGTCCTCTCGGTCTGGATCACCACTTATGTGAGAAGGTAGATCTTCAGAATGTTGGCACTGTTTCCCCCGATTTTCTGTTCCCTACGGCAGCAGTTGTCCACATACCTGGAAATCTGGGGTGTAGGAAAACGGTTTTGTCTCTGGAGAGAAAAATGGCAGCCTTGAGAAAGGAAGCCAGCCTGGACAGTACTTGTCCTAAGAAAGAAAGAGAGGAGAGAGAGAGAGAGAGAGAGAGAGAGAGAGAGAGAGAGAGAGAGAGAGAGAGAGAGAGAGAGAGAGAGAGAGAGAGAGGGAAAGAAAGAAAGAAAGGTCAGCGATTCTGAAGTAACTGATAAAGCAACAAGAAATAGGTGTTACATAACGGTTTGCTTACCAAGTAATCACCCTTGTTCCCTAAATTTGAAAGTTCTCTTCATCCACAAGATCAGTAATGGTATAGTTTCTATAATATTTGGGGGGATTGCCTTGTTATTATTGTATAACAAATCCCTGAATTTCATATCTTCCCTTGCCAATTTGAAAGTCCCCAAATATGTAATGTAAACTAATGTAAAAAAAAACAAACTAGTGACATAATTGTCAAAATGGATACAAAAAGGCATTTTCTGGATTACATGGAATCTCTTTCTACTCTGTTTCTACCATTTTTCCCTTTATGTTCCATTTTTTCTCTTCTCTCTTTCTTTCTTTCTTTTTTTTTTTTTTTTTTTTTTTTTTTTTTTTTTTTTTTTTTTTTTTTTTTTGGTTTTTCGAGACAGGGTTTCTCTGTGGCTTTGGGGGCTGTCCTGGAATTAGCTCTTGTAGACCAGGCTGATCTCGAACCCACAGAGATCCGCCTGCCTCTGCCTCCCGAGTGCTGGGATTAAAGGCATGTGCCACCAATGCCCGGCTTCTCTTCTCCATATTTTTCTAAAAAGCAAAATTTGTCTAGACTGAAGTTTTAGACTCTTATTATCAATTTGTGTATTTCCATTGTCTTTTCTTTGTTCTTAAATTTTACATTTTATTTGTACTTTTCTTACTTTATAAGATATCTGATTATTTCCAGAGATCTGACTTTTACATAACTACTCTATTGTTAAGCCTGAAAAACCAAATATGAAATTAAATATTTTGTTAATCATCTACCTAAAACTTTTGAAGATATCTCCCCCTAATGAGGTATTCCCCCTTTAGGTTTTTCATGTGAAAATACGATCTAGAAAGTACTTGTGATATCAGACCACCTAGTCAGCTGATACAGTTAGCAAAGCCTGGTTCAGAAAATCAATTTTACCTTTTCCTTTGGGGTGTTCTTCTGATAGAATATAGAACAATTGATGAGTCTTCACATAAGGGTAGATATAGTTAACTAGCATGGCATAGTGGCTCACACCTTTGGTCCCAGCACTCAGGAGGCAGAGATGGTTCAATCTCTTTGAGTTGGAGGCCAGCCTGGTCTACATAAAGAGTTCCAGGCTAGCCGGGGCTACATAATGAGACCCTGTCTCAAACAAACAAACTAACTAAAATTAAAACAAAACAGTTTATCAACCATGCTTGGTCATCTTGAAACATAAAAGTCATTCTTCAATAAGGTTTATGCATGATTGACTGTTGTCTGGCATCAGGAGCAAGACTGTTACCATCAAAAATGGTTCTTTGGGCTAGTCATTGTGGCACATGTCTTTAACCCCACTACTTGGAAGGCAGAGGCAGAGGCAGGCGGTTCTTTGTGAATTCAATATCAGCCTGGTCTACAGAGTGAGTTCCAGAACAGGCTCCAAAGCTATACAGAGAAACTCTGTCTCAACAAAACAAAACAAAACAAAACAATTAGATATTCTTTAATAGTCTGTTAGGTTAGTACTGAAACTTTTGGTTCTCAAATTCTGTTTTTCTTTTGTATGGAGATTCTCAGGAATCATTTACCGACAGATTGTTTATTATGTGGATACACAGAAATCTTAATTTTATTTAGTGCAATAGAGGACATTAAATACAAGTATAATAATTTTATGATGGCGCATTCCTCACTAAAAATATTTATCCTTCCTTTCTTATTCACCTGAAATATTACAAGGGTTTTATTTTATTTTTGAGACTAGGTTTCATTGTGTAGTTTAAAGATGTGTGCCACCCTGCCTAGCTTTGTAAGGGATTTTTTCAGTGTTTTCTTATACAGCCCACTAATTTAGTTCCATCTGTCTTAGGGTTTGTATTGGTATAAAGAGACACTATAACCTTTTTGTTGGTTTATTTTTGTTTTTGTATTTTCGAGACAGGGTCTCTCTATGTAGATCTGCCTGTCCTGGAACTCACTCTGTATACTAGGCTGGCCTCAAACTCACAGAGATCCACCTGCCTTAGCCTCCTGAGTGCTGGGATTAAAGGTGTGTGCCACCACTGCCTGACTAAAACAAATACTCTTAAAAGCTGAATCATTTCTCCATCCCAAAGATTTTGGCAGCTCTTAAAAAGAAACGAGTTGGGTTACCAGGGAAACTCGTACAAACAAAAACATTTAATTGGGGCTGGCTTACAGTTTCAGAGGTTTAGTCCATTATTGTCATGGTGGCACACAGTCAGACATGGTGCTGGAGAGGTAGCTAAGAGTTCTACATCTTGATCAATAGGTAGCAGGAAAAGAACTGAGACACTGGGCCTGGCTTGAACATTTGAGACCTCAAAGTCTGTCCCCAGTGACACACTTCCTCCAACAAGGCCACACCTCCCAATAGTACCAGTCCCTATGAACCTCTGGGGCCATTTTCATTCAAACTACCATACCGTCTTAACATTGATTTGACCAAAAAATGGACAAATTCATTTTTTGAAGTAATAATTTAGGCTTCTTGCCTTGATCCCTGAAGGGTACTTCTGATGAAACTGTTTTTCTGGTCTAATTAAAATTGAGCTGAATTTCTAGTCTAAAACAATTGTGCTTTGTTTTCAAATAAAATGAGAATAGGAAAATCAGGAAATGTTTATTTAAATGCTATTTATTTTTTGAAATCTAGTACTCTAGTTTATAATTTTAGGTGAAGTCCACCTGTTGTTCAGAAAGGAATTACACTTAAATGTAAGTATTCCCTAGTAACTTATGGGAAGACAGGGAGTTTCAGTTATGGATTGCTTTCCTAGCACACTCTAGCATTGAAGAGGAAGATGCTTATGGAGGGAAAACATTTATCATAAGTTACTAATATGTAAGTTGATTTTTCATCCGATCTTGCAAAAAGGGGAAGATCTTGTTAAACTTCTTTTTAAGAGTTATTTACTTTTACCATGTATTTGACTTCATGTATGTATTTTGTATACCATGTGTGTGCCTGGTGCTCACAGAATCCAGAAGAGGGAATTGAAACCCTCTGGAACTGGAGTTACAGAGTGTAGTGAGCAGCCATTTGTGGGTGCTGGGAACTGAACCTGGGTCCTTTGCAAAAGCAGGAAGTTCTCTAACTGTTGAGCTATCTCTCCAGCCTCCTTAAGTTAAACTTTTACTTCCTCTCTGAACATAATTGTCCCAGAGCCCTTGTATTTCTGTATTAATAACTTTTTTTGAGTCAGTTGGAAGCCAGCAAGATGGCTGGCTCAGTAGGTAAAGGCAAAAGAACTTGTTGTCCCATCAATACAGACATTCAAGGATACAGGCATGTGGGTGTACATGCAACAAAATAGTAAGTAAGTGAATAAATGAATAGACAAAGTGCAGGAAAAACAAAACTCATTTGACATTAAATTGGAAAAGGAAAGCTGATGTAAAGGAAGCTAGAACTAAATCAAGAATGAGACTCGTTCTGTCATCTCAGCACTCTGGAAGGCTGAGCAAGGAGAATTGTGACTAAAGCCAGCCTGGGATACGTAGTGAGACCTTGTCTCAAAATTTTTCTTTTAAAGAAATCATAGGTTTGTATTATGAAAAATGGTTGATTGTATTTTAACATTTTCAAATATGAATATAATGGTCTTTGATTATAATCACCCCCTTTTTCCTCTTAAAGAAATAATGTAGGGCCCAGTATGGTGAAAACCCAGCCCAGGGAGGATAAAGGAAGGCTCTCTAAGATTATGACAGCCTAGTCTGCACCGTAAGTTTCAGGTCAGCCAGGACTATATAATGAGACCCTGTGTCAAAAACTTTCAAGATTTCAAAGAACAGATGAAAACAAAGCAAAACAAATTTAACCTTAAAATGTGGTTTTATAAACATAATGAAGATATTTAAAAGCAACCACAAATCTGTCATTATGATAAACCAATTTTTATTTTAAAAATCAAATTAGAGGGGCTGGAGAGATGGCTCAGAGGTTAAGAGCACTGGGTGTTCTTCCAGAGGTCCTGAGTTCAATTCCCAGCAACCACCTGGTGACTCACAAGTATCCGTTATGAGATCTGATGCCCTTTTCTGGTGTGTAGATATACATAGAAGCAGAATGTTGTACACACAATAAATAAATAAATAAATAAATAAATAAAATTAGAAACTAGTCAACTATAACAAAGCTGCTGTGAAAAACAGCTAAAATGA